TATCGAAAATAAAAGGGTTGAAAAAATGGCTAATGGACGCGACATACCTATTTGACCATACAACATTAGCAACAGTGGCAAATCAACGCAAATATAGGTTGAAAACTACAAAGGAAGAGTAAGGAGGGGAGTGGGTTCGGTATTGTTCGTCTTCTAGATGTCATGCATGAGAGGAGTTTAGGGAGACAATTAGACCAACTCTAGATTGGAAATCAAAAGCTCAAAGTTCACCTTTCTCAGTTTAATAATGAAGTAATATCCAGCCTTGATAGGAAACCACAATCATTTACTATAGGTAGTTTTAAGCCTAGCTCTATGTGGTAAAAGGTATCGAAAATAAAAGGGTTGAAAAAATGGCTAATGGACGCGACATACCTATTTGACCATACAACATTAGCAACAGTGGCAAATCAACGCAAATATGGGTTGAAAACTAAAGGGAGCCACAATGGACAAGACTAAAGTTCAACCCAATGTAAGAAGATTGGGCATGACAAGAGGGATGCCTTGTAAGAACAGCAAGATCTATTAAGATAGTGCCCATATTGCAAGAGAGACTTTATGTGGAGGGGCTTTCCTTGATCAAGCTTAGAGTAATGGTTGTGAACTAGTCTAAATGATTGTGATGATAAAGAGGAGTTAAAAGACTTGGTTGAGTTAGCTAGGGATTGGCTTATATGCATATAGGAAGTTTATCTCTTTAGATCAGAGTATTGCTCAAAAAGAGTTTTAACATTGTAAAAATCTTGATCTCTATATTGGAAATAAATCTAATTTCTAAAACCCTCATATATAGTGTGAATTGCCATATTTACAATATAAGATGTAAGGAGATAATAAGTGGCTGTTTTTCTTTAAAATCTGATTTTCAACTAGTTTTTCAATCGAACTATGAGAGGGATATTAATGAATTATGGTCTTCCAACTTCCTATCTAAAATGATTAAGGATCTAGCAGTAAGGGGTTTTGCATGATGGTTTCTTTATCCCAGAGTACGATGGCATAGATGAGAATAACATGGTGCTGATTGGTAGTTAAACATTTAAAAAGTCACCTCTAAAAAGGAATTCGAAGGATCTAGCAGAGTGGGACAACACTAACAACAAATTGGATTGGTAAGATGAGATGTTAATTTGTTCTCAAGAAAGGTGTAAAGATGAAGATACAGTGAAGGTGGTTGGTGACAGTTTGATGGCATCGCAAAATCTTAGTGATTATGAGCTTTTAATTGAAGAGGTTGGTGTCTAAGCATTTGAATCGATAGTACAACCCACTGTGAATTTTAGTTGTGGTTCTTCTCAACTAGGTTGAAATCCACAAGTATCTAAGTGGGTTGATAAGGAAAATGATGAGCTAGCTAATATGGCCCAACAAAATCCATCACTATGCAAAAATTAAGTAAAAATGAGCATGCTATTAACTGTGAAGAGTCTAATAAGGAGAAGTCTGGGTGTTGTCAATCTAAATCAAGCTTGAAGCAAGTTATGGCTGCAACTTTAACACCCCAAGGCCTTAAGAACTCTAATGAGGGAGTAAAGGGGAAGAATGACATTGATTGTCAATTGGAAGAGGAATCATGTAATGACAGTGAAATAAATTCCTTTTAGCAATGATTAGCTAGTGACTTTGAGTTGATCAAAGAAAGGATGGGTCAAGGAAGAAGGAGGAAACAAAAGAGGCAAAAGAAGGATAAGGAAAGCATATCCCAATCATGTCTTACGGTGTACAAAGACTTTCTATTGTTGGCCCAATTAAGGACTTGAAGATAGGCCATGGGTAGCCAAGCTTAAAGAAGAATTTGAAAGAAAAGATGCTTGAATTTTACCCAAGAGACTCCAATCCTGTAGTTGGTGAATCAATCATAGATAGTGTCATCGAGAATTGCAGCAAAGGATTCATAATAAAATAGGAGTTATTTAGCATAAGAAGTGTGGAATTTCATTAAGGAGATTGGTTTGGTTACTAACAAGAATGGTTATGAGATTATGAAGGAGATCAAGATGATGGAACAGAGGGATGTTAGTACCAGGAAGTAGACATAGGAAAGGAAAAGGGTTGATGGAGGTGAGGTATGTCTATTTCAACTATGATCAATCTCTCTTATAATTTGAGAGGTTTGGGTAGTCCTAATAAGAAAAGGGAGGTCAAAGAGTAGGTGGTTAAGGAAAATGTGCAATTTCTTGCTTTATAGGAGTCCAAGTTAAAAGTCGTTGATCGTTAAACTTGTAAGGTATTGGGAGGTTCATATGACTTTGAATTTGTAATTAAACATTTTGTTTGGTGTTTAGGAGCATTGATCGATATCTGGGATAGCAATGTTTTTCATTTGACTCAAAATTTTCAAGGAGAACACTACTTGGGGTTAGTTGGATTCTGGGGAATTGACAAAACACCATTGTATCTCATGAATGTTTGTGCCCTTTATGACATAATAGGTAAAAGGTAATTGTGGACTGATATGGGAAATTTAATTATAAGAAAGAAAAGTAATCGATGTGTGACGTGTGATTTTAATACCATAACAAATAGTCAGGAAAGAGTGGGTAGCAATAGTGTGTCAAGAAGCATAAAGGATTTTATAAGCTTCATTCAAGATTTTGGGTTGATGGATATCCCTCTAACTGAGAAGACGTACACGGTGCCATTTTAACGGTAGCTCTATGAGTCAATTAGATCAACTCCTACTAACTGAAAAATGGTGAATGAACTAGAGTGAAATAAGATAATAAGGACTAAAGAGATCACTTTCTGATCATTGTCTAGTGTTATTGAGAGACTCAAAGGTTAATTAAGTCTTAAGCCTTTTAAATGCTTTGATAGCTAGCTTTACATGCCAAGCTTCCATGAACCAATGGTAGACACATGGAGAGCAATGATTGGTAAAGGGTGGAAAAGCTATTGCCTCAAGGAGAAACTCAAGCTTGTCAAGAAAAGGATAAAAGAATGGAGCAAGAACGATCAGACTAGGTTGGAATAGAATATAGTTGAAAGCAAGAAAATAATTAAAACACTAGATTTGAAGGGTGAGCTAAAGACTCTTACAAGACAAGACATAATTGATAGGAAAAAAGACTTTATAAGTTCTAGAGTAACTTGAATATTAGAAAGGGGTAATGGAGACAGAAAGCAAAGAAACAATAGATGAGAAAAAGGGATGCAAATTCCAAATTTTACCATAAATGTATTAGCAGTAGACAATGCAGAAAGAGATTTCTAGTATTCAAGTGAATGGTGAAAAATTGGAAGATATTGTAAGAATTAAAAAGGGCATAGTAGACTACTTTGAAAAACTATTTAAAGCAGAAGCATAAGTTAGACCAAACATGGATAACATTCTTCTTAAACAAATCTCCCAAGCTCAGAATGACTTTCTTTTACAACCATTTAGCGAAGAGAGGATAAGAGCAACAATATGGGATTACGAGTGTGACAAGGCTCTGGGGCCTAATGGTTTTAATTTCACTTTCTTCAAAAAAATGTAGAATGAGATAAAAAGTGATGTTGTGAGGTTTGTTAAAAATTTTCATAGCAAAGAGAAGCTAGTGAAAGGCTTGAGTGTTTCTTTCTTAGCATTGATCCCAAACTGTTGAACCCTCAAAAAATTGAAGAATATAGGCATATTTCACTCATTAGATCTTTGTATAAAATTATTGCTGAATTACACTTTAATAGGCTATACTCCATCATGACAAACATTGTTAAGGAGCACTAAATTGCCTTCATTGAGGGTAGGCAATTATCTAAAGAGGTTGTTGTGGCAATTGAAATTATTGGTGAAGCCAAAAGAAAATAGAAAAAAAGCTTCATCTTCAAAGTAGACTTTGAGAAGTTTTTGATAGAGTGAATCGAGACTTCCTTGATTACATGGTAATGAGATTTGGATTTAAAGATAAGTGGAGGAGATGGATCAGAGGGTCATTCCAAACTAGCCTTTTGTTAGTGTTGGTAAATGGTAGCCCATCCAAACAGTTTTGTGTGTTAAGAGGACCAAAGTAAAGGGACCCCTTTTTCCTTTTCTTTTTTGGATTGTTGTAGAAGAATTGAACAAAACCATTAATTCTATAATGAAAAGAGGGTTGTTTGAAGGCATTGAGGTGAGAAATTCACATGTTAGATTCTCACAAATCTAATTTGCAAATGACACAACCATTTTTGAGGAGGCTACTAAGTAAAACATAAAGGCCGTTAAATGCATAATGAGAGCTTTTGAGCTCACTTCTGGATTGAAAATTAATTATCATAAAAGCCACCTCTTGGGTATACATGTGGGGTCACAATAGATGCAGAAAATGGCTTGGCTACTAAATTATGAAACTAGGGAGATGCTATTCAAATACTTGGGAGTCTCTGTGGGTGGTAACCATAGAAAACTAAGTATGTGGTAGCCTTTAATTCAATCATTCAAGAAAAAGTTGTAGAACTATAAGGTTCATTGGTTATCCTTTGATGGCATAATTACCTCTTCAACTCTGTGCTTACATCGCTCTCAGTCTTCCTCATGTTTGTGTATCTTACCCCTAAAGGTATTGTTAAAACTATTGAT